CCGCGTCGTAAGCCGGCGCGCCCCGCCGCCCCCCCCCTAGGCCCGCCGCTCGGGCGCGCCGAGGCCGTAGGCGCCGAGGTGGGCCTCGCGGAGCTCGTAGTGGTCGAGGAAGAGCTCGCCCCGCCGCTTCGCGAGGTGGTCGACGAGGGCCCCGAGCTTCGCGGCGAGCTGGGGCAGCTCGCCCGGCGCGAGGTCCGTCTTCACGAGGAGCACCTGGGCAGGAAAAGGGTGCGAAATTCCCAACTTCAAAGGCTCCTATCTCGGTCGTTTTCCGCTCGTTTCGGCTGATTTTTGGACGAGCGATCATCTCTCGGAGCGCTCTCGAAGCGTGGGTGCTGGTTTCGAAACGCGCGCGCGCGGAACACTCACGTTGAAGCGACGTTGAATCACCCTTGTCCTGCCCCGAGGAGCGCGGGCAGCTTCGCGAGGAGCCGGAGGAGGTGCTCCGCGCCGTAGAGGGCCGCGGGCGTCGCGCCGCGCGCCGCGCGCGACGCCCACTGCTCGCGCTCCTGGCGGTAGAGCAGGAGCTTGGGGAGGCACGCGTCGAAGTACGCGAGGAGCGCCGCGCCGACGTCGCGCCACTTGGCCGCCTGGGCCCCGGGCGCGGCCGCGGCCCTGCCGTCGACGAAGCCCGCGAGGAGCTCCGCGACGGTCGGCGACCGGGGCAGGGCCGGCCAGTGGCGCGGCTCGCGCGTGACCTGCTCCCAGTCGCGCACGAGGACGTCGCGGAGCTCGCGCGGCAGGGGCAGCCGGAGCCGCGCGCCGCCGCCGTCGGCCGCCGCCGCCGCGGGCGCCGCGGGCGCCGCGGCGGCGGCGCGCTTCCGCCGCTTCGCCGGCGGCGCCGCGGGCGCGGCGCCGCCGCCCGCCGCGGCCGGCTCGGCCGCCGCCGCCGGGCCGAAGTCGTAGTCCGCGGCGCGGAGCGACGCGCCGTCGACCCACGCGTCGGTCCGCGCGTTCCAGCCGTCGTAGTGGACGAGGTAGCGCACCCGCCCGCCGTCGCCGGCGACCTGGCGCACGCGCGCCTTGTACCAGTTCGACTGGTGCGCGCAGAAGCACGCGCTGCCGACGGCGAAGGCGCCGGGCGCCGGAGGCGGCGCCGGGGCCGCGTCGGCCGGGGGCGCTGGAGGTGGCGCCGGCGCGCCGGGCGCGCCCCCCGGGATCGAGTCGCTCATGGTTGCGGCCGGGATCGACGCGTCGGGTAGGACGACCGGCGCGGCGTGGGCACCGATGGCGGAGGCGATTTCAATTGCCGGCCGTGATGCGAGGCGCCGAAGTTGATGAAAATTTTGTCGATGCCGAAGTGGAGGCGTAAGTGGTGCTACGACTTGTGCTACGATACGGTGCTACAAAACTTATGTTGACGCCAAGAGGCATGCAGCGAACCGCTCCCCGACGGCATGCACCTCGTGCGTCCCAAGGGCTTCCCTATTATAGACCCACGTTAGAGCACCCATAATAAGAACAACGATAGATTCGAGTCCAAGGCCCGTCCTCGGACGCGGGTTGTGGTCCTAGCAGGCAAAATCTTACGGAGGTAGCAAGGTACGGCCGCCCCCCCCCCGCGAACCAACAAAGTTTGGAAAAAATTCTCTCCACCGACAACGATGATCACGGGAGACCGCCAGGGAACAGGGTAGCTCAAGGCCACACGTTTTTTTGAACCTCCGAACGTCCGTCGCGGCCCGGACGCGCCGGTTCGCCGTCGTACGCCGGGACGTGGCACCCCCGATGGGTTGTCAATGGTTGGCCCAGGGGAGAGTGTCTTCGCCGCAGTCCGAACACGATGATTCGCTGTCGTACAGCGGGGAATAGCGCCCCGACGGCTTTTCCCCCTCGTCGCCCTCCGACGAGACGTCCGAGTCGGAGAGGACGCGCGCGTCGTCGAGGTCGGCCGCCGCCGCCGCCGCCGCGAGCCCCGCCGCGGCGCGGCTCCGCGGGTCGGGCCGGAGCGTGCCCGCGCGGAGCGCGAGGCGCGCGCGCGCGAGCGCCTCGAGCGCGTCGCCGAGCGCGGCCTGTGTGGATTCCAACCACTGGTTTGGGGGGTCCCCACCAAACTTCAGAACTCTCTATCTCGGTCACATCGAAGTCGATTCGGCTGATTTTTGGACGAATCGGTTGCTCTCGTCGAGTTCTCGAAGCACGGTAGAAAGCCTCGCGTCAACACCGTCGCATACGCGCACATTGAAGTCGGGTTGAAGATTTGGAATCCACACGGAGCGCGGCCGCGTCGCCGAGCCGGCCGCTCTCGTCGAGGCGCTTCGCGCAGCACGCGGCGTGCTCGCCGGCGAGGCCGCGGCGCCGGTACGTCTCGCCGAGCGCCGCGAGCGACGCGACGATGGCCGCGCGGAGCGGCGCGCGCGCCGGCGACGCGACGAGGAGCCGGCGCAGGAGCCCGAGCTTCTCCCGGAGCGCGGCGGCGGCCGCGGCGTCGTCGCCGCGTCGGAGGTGGAGCGCGGCGAGCGCGGCGAGCGCGCCGACCGTGCCTCGCACGCTGTCGCTCTCCCTGCTCAGCTTCGCCACCTGGGCGGGACGCGGCCGGTCGCGGCGCCCCGTCCGGCGAAGCTTCGAACCTCTCGATCTCGGCCGAATCGACGTCGTTTCGGCTCATGTTCGGACGGGTCGTCGCCTCTCGGCGGGTGCTTTCGAGACGGCGCA